ATTTGAGGGTTTGCTTGTTACTGCACCTTATCCTAACTGTCCTTCACCAATACATAACCTCATGAACCCACTGCTATAGCTCTTGCCAAAATCACCACGGCTCTTCATTGCTCCTTTGTCTTCATCTTTCTTAATTTCTCAGGATTCGATATAGTTATCTACTCCCTCCCTGAACCATTTTTTTTCTCTTGATTTTCATGACGCCATACTTTCTAGTGTTTCCCCTCTCTCACTGGTATTCCTTCTCAGCTTCCATTGCCACCTTCTCCTTTTGTGATAGACCTGTTAACGTTGGAGCATCTCCAGGCTTGGTCCTCTGTTCTCTCTCCTTACATCATTATCCATCCCATGGCTTTAAATAGCAGCTATATGTCTATGACATTTACATTTATATGTTCTTTACCTCTGATTTATACCTTTTATGAGCTCTAGACTGGTATATTCAACTTCCTACTTGAGATCTCTATTTGGATATCTAATACGTATCTCAAAGTTAATATTGCAGAGTAAATCTCTGATGCCTATCTTCACAATTCGTTTCTTCTTAGTTTTTCCCACCTCAGGCAATGGCTGTACTATCCACTCATTTACCCAGACCAGAAACCTAGGGGTCATTAAGTTTTTTCCTTCCTCACATCACTTTACAGTCTAGGTCTCCACGCATTCCCATGTGTCTGACCACATCTGCTACTATCACTCTGTTACAGTCACCATTTTTTCTTACCTGGGATGATATGCTTCCTCCAAACTACTCTCATTGTTCCTTGTACTGGTTTATTTTTTTTTATTAAAAATTTTTTATAACATTTGTTTATTTTTGAGAAACAGAGAGAGAGCATGAGCAGGGGAGGAACAGAGAGAGAGGGAGACACAGAATCCAAAGCAGGTTCCAGGCTCCAGGATCTGAGCTGTCAGCACAGAGCCTGACACAGGGCTTGAACTCGCGAACCATGAGATCATGACCTGAACTAAAGTCAGACACTTAAGTGGCTGAGCCACCCAGGCGCCCCATCCTTTGACTGGTTTATAATCCATTTTTCATTCTGTAGCCAGACTACTCTTGTTTAAAGTATAAGTCAAATCATGCCAGTCTCTTATGATTCTACATTTATATCCTACTGTATTTAAAATATCATTTCCTTATGATTTTCAGGTCTCTGACCATTTGCTTCCTACTTACCTTTCCCACTTCATCTCCGATATAATTCCTTTACCCTCTATACTCCAACCACACATGTGGTCTTTTTTCTCAAACACACTCGGCTAGTGTTTCCTGTGCCTGGATTTCTTTTTTTAAGTTTATTTTTTTATTTTGAGAGTGACAGAGACAGCATGAGTGGGGGAGGAACAGACAGAGAGAGGGAGAGAGATAATCCCAAGCAGGCTCTGTGCTGCCCACACAGGGCCCGAAACAGGGCTCAGACCCACAAAACTGTGAGATCGTGACCTTAGCCGAAACCAAGAGTCAGATGCTTAAAGGAGCGAGCCAGGAGCCCCTGTGCCTGAATTTCTTTCATTCATCATCTCCCTGTGTGAGGCTCCTTGTGACTACTCATGTTTCGTGTTTCAGGCCCAAATTTCACCTTCTCAGAAACTATTCCCAGACTCATTCTTACTATGTTTTATAGTCTTCACAAGGCTTAGAGCTATCTGAAAAATTATCTTGTTCACTTAGCTATCAATAAATTTACTTTACCTATTTCGCCTTCCTGCCTTCCAAAGATATATAAGGTACATTGAGGGCAGGAAGTTTGCCTGCTTTTTTCACTCACGTACCTGAGTCCCTGGAATAGTGCTGGACACACACCTGGTACTCAATAAATTGATGAATTGATGAATAAGTGAAGGAAAGTTTGAATGAATGAATGAATGAATAAATGAGTGAATGAATAAATGTCATTATCCTTTGCAGAATGAGTTATCATTTTAACCTACGTGGTTCTGTGGGCTATATTTGGAGGCTTTGAGTCCTTGAAACTACTTTAAAATAATTGTTTTTCACTTATACATGCAATATTGTTGTTCCAGGAACACTGCATCAGGTTCTTAATAGCCTGCAAAAATATGGGGGGAAAGGGAAGCCTGGGCGGCTCTGTCGGTGAAGTGTCGTGATCTCGCGGTTTGTGAGTACGAGCCTGGCGTCGGGCTCTGGGCTGACAGCTCAGAGCCCGGAGCCCGTTTCCGATTCTGTGTCTCCCCTCTTTCTGTCCTTCCCATGCTCATGCTCTGTCTCTGTCTCTCAATAATAAATAAACGTCAATTTTTTTTTAATATGGAGAAAAAGAAGTACTTTCCTTCTTTGTGTCTTCTTTAATTTTCGGGCTGTGGTATCACCAGTTTTCTGACATTAGAAATCTCAGGGAATCTTATCTCTTAGCTCCTTACCAGCAGGGACCATTTGTCAGTACAACGCAAAGGGAGATGCTCTGTAACAGGCATAAGAGCCTTGTTCTCCTCAGGAGACTAATTTCTGAATTGTGCATGAAAGAATGTGAAATCACTCCAAACAAAGGAATACTGTTTACCTACAAATCTGTGGGCCCACAATTAAAGCTTCTTTTTAAGGGTTCTCCCCCTATGTGATTTTTATCCAATATTTACTAAAAACACAACAGTGCTTGGAAAATGAAAAGAAATCTGAATGGTTTTTCCCTTTTTCATAAGAAAATAGATCCTTATCATTTTGCCATTTCTTTGCAGAACCTTTTTTACTTTGAGAATGAAATACTCGGTGAGAGATGAAAAAGCTTAATAGAAATTGGGAAAAGGAAGTAAAACATTTTCTGGGATGAGTGATTTTATTGCTTCTATACACGATCATTTTTAGAATAATTTATACATTCCACTCCTCTGGACAGAATGCAGTGCTTTGACTCATACATATATATTTTTAAGTCTCTCTCTCTAACAAATGGCTTTGTTTGTTTGATGACCTTTGCTGAGAGCCTTTGATAATAAGGCTGAGAATTAAGACATCGCCAGACAGTGGTGCACAGATGGGCTTCAGCTGATACTCTAGAAAAATAATATCTTCATCCTCCAGCTATTTCCCCATAAATCTAGCCACCGTACTGTTTCACAAAAAGGAAAAAAAAACATGCTTTTTAATGCTACTGCTACTTTTTGCCATGATTAAAAGTTGTCTTACTCTTTCTGTCCTCCAAGTAACTGTATAAATAGAAAGCACAAAGTGGAAGTAACTGAAATCTCATAAAAAGGGCAATACTTTGTCCAGATCAAACATGCTGACATTTTTGAGGGTCACTTTACGTTTCTGGAAAGCTTCTTTCCGTTGTGTTGCCACAGGTCCAAAAATGAATTAGTGGCTGCATTGAGTCTCCTCAGGAAATTAAGTTTCTGTGTTTGTGCTATCTCTGGGGTCTGAGCAATAGGTTTCATTTTAGTTGGAAGGAAACTCTACTACCAGAAATAAGGTTCTGCCTACCATTTTTTCCTGGAGCTATTTCAGGTGATCAAAAATAACTAATAAACTAGGGAAGAAAATAAAACTATCTCAATTGCTCAAGGCTCTAAAGAAATTAGGGGAAATCTTGGAAAATCAGTCAGTAGGATTGAAAACAAATGTTTGGAGGTGTCTGCATAGCTCAGAGGTGTTGAGCATCTGACTCTTGATTTTGACTCAGGGCATGATCCCTGGGTCATGGGGTTGAACCATGTGTCAGGTTCTGCACTGAGTGTGGAGCCTGCTTAAGATATTCTCTCTCTCTCTCTCCCTCTCCCTCTCCCTCTCCCTCTCTCTCCCTCTCTCCCCCTCTCTCCCCCTCTCCTCCTCTCCCCCTCTCTGCCTCTCTCCCTCCTCCCCCGAAATAAATTTTAGGGGCACCTGGGTGACTTAGTGGGCTAAGCTTCCGACTTCAGCTCAGGTCATGATTTCACAACTCATGAATTTGAGCCCCGCTTGGGGAATCCCCAAATGGTGATCTCTATGATTGAGTGCAGAAGTTCTAGGAAAGACCCTTCTCCCCTTTTTCCAAATCCCCTCTACCTACCTACACCCTGAGTTCTGACACCTTTGTAACACGTGACAAGGCTTTTAATTCTGCTCTTAGATTTCAGGATTAAAATGTAAAACCATATTGACTTGGGTTCAAGTAAGGGTATAAAATAGTCTATGCTGATATCCAAGGAGATCAAAAGGGTAATGGATTTCACATATGTTTTGTGGCAAGTATATCATGGACATGTCAACATTCATTATCTCCCTGAAGATCTAAAATAACTGTGAATTAGCTAGCATTGCCTTATTTCCTCTGAGGATATTAAGACGAGAGGTTAAGTAACTTTTCTAAGATCACAGAGAGTCAGAATTGATGAAAAAAGAAATCAAAGTGGCTCCATCTGACTACAATGGCCCTAGCTCCTCAGCCTGTTGCCCTGTTGAGCATAGTTAGAAAATCAGGAATAGCTAGGGGAAGGGAAAGAGGAAAATCTGCTGAATTTAAGGGCTGCTTGGTATGCTTCGTAATGTTAAATAAAGGTGTATATTCACTGAAGCTCTATTTATATATGATAAGCAAATATGGAAGTATTTTGGAGTCTCAGAAACTGTGGGTTTGTGTTCCATTAATGAGTTACAGTTTATAAATTTTATCCATCTCTCAGGTTTTAGTACAACTTGTTACACAAAAGTTGGTTCCAAACATATTTTGACTTTTTATTTCTAGAAGAGTATAGTTCATGGTGTTAAACATTGTAAGTCCTTGATTTTTTTTACACCAATTGCTATTCTTACATTTGCATATGTTATTTCAGTATGTAATGTGTTTATATACATATATGTGTATATATATGTGTGTGCATACATACATGCATACACATATTTCTATTCTCTAAGTAATCAAAATAGAATGTTGTGGCATGTTTCTCTACTGGTATGTGTATCTCTGATCTCATAGACAAGGTTTCTACCTTTTGGCTCTATGCTTCTATACTTCTCTGTTCCCTTTGTGATCTCATCACATGTGTCCTTACTGGTTTAACATCAGTCCTCTGCAAAAATGTTATTTCGATGAACGCAAGGCCGAGACTATCTTGTTCACTGTCATATCATCAGCCCCTAGCGAAATGACTAAGTATATAGTAAGAGCTTAAGAAGTATTTAATGAATTGAATTGAAATTGAAATTCCGTATTCCCTTTGTAAAAGGCAACTGTCCTTGAAATGAGCAACACGCTAAACCATGTTATACTAAAACTATATATTCTCAGGCAAAATCCTAGAAGGCAATGTTGGACAAGAAAGTTATGTACAAATGGTATAAAGAGGCTTCAAACAGTAAGTTGCTGAAATTCTAGTTTTGCTTAGAGCTAGCTCCTATTTGTAATATTATCCATTCTCTTAGAAAATATTTTTGTTAGGCATTCTGTTCCATGTTAAAGATTGAAAGACAAATAGAATAGACTAATTAAGGGAATTAATTCTTAAGAAGGTCAGAAGGACTTTATGAAAATGCATATTAAGCCAGAGGTCTTAAAATTTTTGCTGATGTACCCTCAATGAGTATTTTGAAAAAAGTGTGCGTTCCTTTACATGTTTTAAAATCAGTATAAAAAATTCATTATATGTTTAAAAAGAAGTAAAGAGTGTAATTTCTGGCTTCTTTTAAATATTGTAATTTTAAAAATTAAAAATGCTACATAAATCTTTTACACTTTACATTTCAGTAGAATCTAAATACCATAGCACTTTAATATCCACAACCAGACATTTAATAATTTCATTATCAAGCTTTTCTTTAATCCTTAGAAACTTGATGTCCTATCTTTTATTCTTTAACCTTATTTACATTTCATTTTCCCTAGAGAATTTTATCCTAAAATAATATATTTCTAAACCCATATCTCCTTTACTAATTACTAAAGCATCTCATACTTCTCTGTAAGAAAACTCTGCTTATAAATTAAACATGTATTTTTATTTTCCACAACTCTAAGATTTTAAAAATAAATGTTTTTCCTGGAGGCACCTGAGTGGCTCAGTTGGTTAAGCATCCGATTTTGGCTCAGGTTGATCTAACAGTTCGGGACGTGGAACCCCACATCTGGCTGTGCGCTGTGCAGAGCCTGCTTCAGATCCTCTGTTTCCCTCTCTCTCTCTCTCTCTCTCTCTCTCAAAAATAAATAAACATTAAAAAATATATATTTCTCCTGGAAGTAGTTAGATTTGGAATTACTATTAGTAGACAATGTTTTATATCCTTTTGCTTTGATCAAAGCAACAAAAATATATAAAACATTTGACAAGTAATTATTAAGTGTATAGAGAAAAAATTTATTATAAATGCTCCTATTAATAAAAAAGGGACTACATGTTTCACATAGTTCATATGTCCAAAAATGATTCTTCCTCATTCTTATAATAACAGCGTCCAAAAACAATTTTATTTCTGTTTTCATTGATGGTAACACTGAGAAGTATTGTCTACATATTAGGAATTTTATCATAGACATGTCACATATTTTCTTAAACTTCTAAATTTCACATATTTTCTTAAACTTCTAAATTTTCAGCTAAAGATTGTTGTTTTATCATTACTTTTGATGCTATATCAGCTGATGATTCAGTTAGGTCTTACATATTTGATGAGAGGAAAGACGAGCCATTTGACTTTCAAAGGAAACCCTTTGAAACCCTTTCAGGAAACCCTGAATCATCCGCTTCCTCAATTTCTGGAAAGTATATCAAAAGAATTCATCAAAAATTATCAGCACCTTAATTTACATTTTATTCCTTAACTTAGGAATACCTTGTCTAACCTGACATACTCAGAAAAGGTTGGAAAATCCAAATATTATTAACTTCAGCATAATTTTGCTAATATAATATTTTTGTAAAATATTTTATCTTACAATTTTTGAATATGTTATTTTCAAAAGCCAGTTCTCATTGCCAAATTAATCAGATTAGAATTATTTCTTATAGAAGTGTGACTTCATTTTTTACTCTATATAAATACAGTAATGTGTTTCCTTGATTCAATGGTCTTGCTTCTGAATTCTAAGATAAACATCTGGATAAGGCCCGAACTTTGTCTTGAGCAGGTTGTACTCTACATGATATAAGGCCCTGTTGCTTTTAATATGTTTTACCAATGCTCCTTTTGTTTTTCATAGACCAGATTCTCCCACAGGGAAAATGCATGTAAAAGATTAGAAAGGGGAAATTTAAATGACAACCTAATGTTAGTGTTTTCCAAGCAGATTGATTATTTTTTTGTATTTATTTAAAAATTTTTTAATGTTTTTATTTATTTTTGAGACAGAGAGAGACAGAGCATGGGCAGGGGAGGGACAGAGAGAGAGGGAGACGCAGAATCCAACAGGTTCCAGGCTCTGAGCTGACAGCACAGAGCCTGACGCAGGGCTCAAACTCACAGACTGTGAGATCATGACCCGAGCTGAAGTCGGCCGCTCAACCGACTGAGCCACCCAGGCACCCCAGCAGATTGATTTTTACAAAAGGGAATATGAACTTAGAAATCTGAAGATTAGTTGTCCTAAAATTTGTTTACCCTTTACTCCTTGGAGAGTTTTCATGTAATTGTGTTTGCATCATTCTAGGTTAAATGACTTGCATAAAGTTACACAACTTAAAAGTGAATGAGTTGAGATTAGAACCCAGGTCTAACCCAGAAATTCAGGAACTGAGCTATTTTGCTCTACATTATGTTTTATGATCTCACAGAAAGAAATGAATGGTGTCTGTAGAGAAATCTGGGATGTAAGATTAGGAGATACTTTTCTCTCTCTCTACGCCCCTTTCCTATTTCTACTTTTTCTTTCTTCCTTCCCATCCCTACCATAAAGTGGAGGAAGGACCAGTGTAAAAGAGGAGTTTAAAAAATAGACACGGCATAAAGCCTAACTTCAAAGTCTTTTTCATACATATTAGTTTTAGGAAATAGCTTCTGAATTTGCATCAGTTCAAATTGTCTATATGCCTGAGTACAAGCCTTCTTGCATTTCTAGGACTGTGCATGACCTAGACGGAACATTATTGATCTAAGAGAAGAAGCAATGCTTGAGACCAAGTAAGATGTCAGCCACAGTCTTTTCTCTTTAGTCTATTAGGGCAAAGTTGGTTCAGAGGGTAGACTGTCCTCACTTTGGAGAGACCAATTCTGAGGGATGGTGGGTAAATTTTGATAGAAGGAGCAGAGATGGTAGTTGGGAGGGAGGGGACTCATGATTATTACACGATCAGACCTTAATAATTGGGAATATCAGAGAGGCACAGTCTGAAAAAGGAAGGATTAAATGGAATCCACAGTGGGACCTTGGAAACCAATACAAATGTACTGAACTAGAAAATGTCGTCGTAACCAGCTACATAGTGTATGGGACATCATGTGCCAAATTTTCTAGCCCATGCAAAACTGAGTGAAGCCTCCTAGTTAGATTTTAATTGTAATGTAAATGTGTTCATGGGGGAAGAAAGTGAAAGAAAACACAGCTAAGAAAATGTGGAAATGAAAAACTTCACCTTTATTAATCAAAAAATTTTATTTTGATCAACTTCCTGCCCTTAAAATTGGCTATTTCACCCCCTCCCCACCCACACTTTGGCATTATTTCCGGGGCTGATCAGTCAGCTACAGTTGCAAAGTGTCTACACTGTGTTATGTGCAAGCTGTTGTGCTTCCTGGTGTTTGGCCTCTAACTTCAAGCATTGAAGAAAGAAAGAGTACCTTCATCTTCTTCAGTATGTGACTGGAACAAGTTAGCCATCCTGCTTTTCATTACATAAGTCCTTAATTTCCTAAACAAACAAACCCCTCAACGTCTCCAGAAGTAACAGAGATGGTATTCATATGTCACTTACAAGTCCCATCACATCACCATCTCTCCCAAATCTCTTTCCAAAGCTGACTTTTTTCTGAATCCCATGCAAAGGAAAAAAGCCATAGGTAACAGAGGCATGTTGTTACTTTCATTTGTGTGCTTCGACATAGGTATGGTTTTGATAAATATCTAAATGAAAAGGTAGGAGGGATGATGTCATGAAAAGCTTATGCTTATGCCCATTGAGCATGTGACTTGGCTTGGGACTCTTGTCCTGCAGATTTCTGAGCAGAGTAGCACAAGAATATCTTCTATTTCTATTGCAACTTGGACAGCTGGAAAGGAAGCTAACAAAAGGATCCATCAGAACATGATTCTCAGTTTCACTTATTCAGAATTAAAAGTAAGTTGGGCAGTGGATTAGGAAAACAGCCTGTAATCAGATCAGTGACCCCGTGAGACCCTGTCATTAAAACTTTAGTGTTGAGCCTGCAAGCCTCTGTTCCTCTGATTAGGCAATTTACTCTATTTCCGCTCTTCTGTCTGCCAAAACATTTAGTCGCAAAATGCTTTCTAATTCTCTAGACTCATAAAATGGTGTTCTGAGGAAAAGGAAAGGAGAATGGATTATCTTATTTAGCTACCTATCATGATGCAATCAGAAAACAGGAGAGATTTATAGATAATATTATAAAGAGACAAAAGCAGCAGATTTCATTTAGATGTCCAGAAGGGCACAGAGTCCTGCTGAGTCCTGACAGCCCGACATGAGTGCCTTTGCTCCTCTTGTGTGTGGATCACAGGGATTACTTCCATCAGTTAGCAACATGGTGGAGGGGACAAACTGGGGCTGCATTTTCACTCAGTTGATTGTTGCTGAAGATCACATGCATGACGACATGCAGTGACTCAGTTTCCATATCTGCGTGGTATGAATAACAGTTCTTTCCATTATCTTACAAGTTTATTTTGATGCAGTAATTGCTGGGGAAGTGTTTTAAAATGTTTTATATGAATAAAAGATAGTTATCTAACTTATAAATTCTGACTTTGATCTTTAATTCAGGTCTAATTCTATTGGGGGTTATTATTAAATATGGTCATTATGTATTTATTTTATTTCTTATTTAAGGATGATACTGATTTAAAAATTACAGGGCAACATCTAATGGAGTCATTGAGGTATTTCTATTTATATCTTTTGTGAACATTCCAAGAGATTACAGCCTACTTCCCCTAGGGACGATTGGAGACACCAGAAAAGACTTTACTGTGCATCTCATCTCATTTCTAAATCAAGGTGGGAAGCCACAAATAGAAACACCAAACTATTATGGGCTATCGAATTTCTCAGATATGTTTCCTTCTCATCTGATTTAGATGTATAGCCAGGGTTCTGACCCCAGCTTGCTCCTAGTTCGAGCCTTAAGTGTAATAGATTTCCCAATCATTTGTCTTAATAATGCAAGTAAAACCCACTAACATCCTACTTGTTAATCTGATTAGATGCCAAGCCTTAGCTCCTCAGAGATGTCCCACTGCCTGTGAAGACTGAATACTAGCAAAAGAGATGAGGCCAGCTTGTAGAACACAGAGAACATCAATAAGGAGCAGGGGAGAAACACGGTTGAGAGATGACAAAGGAATCACTGTGTACAACACGTTTTCCTTTCCTCAGACTAAGGGCATTCTAAATTGTGTTGTATAAGCCTTAACCTTTCCCACAAAGGCGTCTGTAAGAATAAGTGTTTTTGCAACCCCATTCGTGGTGATTCTGTAAATCAAGAAAATATCTTCAACAACGGAAATGTCACATCTGCTTATGAACCATGTTTAACGGAGTTTGTTTTTCTTGCTTTTTAAATCAAAGAATTGGCTGCTGTCTCCCTTCACTTCAGACCCTGAATGCAACATTACAAGGTGAAATGTTAGGGATGTCAGTGGTAGCAACAGTGTTACTTTTTTAAAGTACAATGGAATATTTAATGTTTTGTGGCTGGCTCTGTGGGGTGAAGTTGTAACATGAACTAAAATGCCAACATAATGTGTTTTAAACTGAATACTGCATTATCATGGACATTTTAAGAATGTAATTGTTTTAACCAAGTCATAAATTGGGTTGCCACCAATTACTTCAAAAAAGATCAATGGGGGCAGGGGGATGAGAAGACAAGTGTGTGTCCTTAACAGTTTACCTAATGTGCTCTTGAATTTTGGGTAAAAATGGCATATCCCTCCAGTGCCATATTTTCTGTATTTGAGGAGGAAAATGTACTTGTAGACTTTCTCTTTTCATACAGCATATACGCTATGGAAGAAATGCTTACGATGTGAATATAGACACCAAAGTGATGACTTCCTTTTTAGTCCTGCTTATCTTTCTCCAGTACTAATAAGCCCACCCCCCCCAACATACACTCAGATGTTGTGAGAAGAAAATTATGAAGGAGAGAAAAAGAAAAGTATAAAATAGCTATGTTGAGGGGGCAGCATTACAATATATACAGATATATAGACAAAAGAAAAAAATGAGAAAATTTGGGGTAAGATATATCAGCAGTGGTATAGATTTGGGAACCCCCCCAACACCAGCCATTAAAAATAAAACAAAAAAACAGGACTAGCCTGACAACTTTATTTATCTTTTTTAAAACGTTTTATTCATTCATTTGGAGAGAGCACACGTGTAAGCAGGGGAAGGGGCAGAGAGAGGAGAGAGAGAATCCCAAGCAGGGTCTGTGATGTCAGCGCAGAGCCTGATGTGGGGTTCCATCTCACGAACAGGAAGACAATGACCTGAGCCAAAATCAAAAGTCGGACGCTTAACTGATTGAGCCACCCAGGTGCCCCCAGCCTAACAATTTTAAAAGCACATATTAAGTATCCACAAAAAAACATAATAGCAAGAATCCAAACTATAACTCTGTAGGCCAACTCACCAGGAGCAGTAAGTCACATTTGGTATTAGCAGCTGTGTACAAGGAAGAAGAGGAAATAAAAGTAACTTCTGATGACCTTTATAGCAGGAGAAGCTATGCATCTAACAAAATGAAATGCAGCTCAGAGTCCCAGTTAGCTGGGAAGTTCAGCGGGTCACATTCAGAAAAGTAGCCTAAACTAAGGGGGCAGGGTTCTCAGGCTTCATTTCAGAAATGAACATGGAAGGACTACAGAAAGGTTCGTTGGTATGGGTCAGACTAGATAAGTAAGCTCCCAAACTAACCAGCTGATGCTTTTTCCCAGTACTAAGCTCTACAATACAGAAATGCTGCTGAACTAGAATATGACCTGAGAAAGATAGGAGCAAAGGAAAGAAAATGTCCAGAAAAGATGCGGTAAGAGAGCAAAGGAGGCAGATCTCAAAAATACTCAAGACCATATTTTTGAATTTTTTACTATACTAATAAGAGTACAAAATCATAAATATTGGAAAGCTGTTCTTGTCTACCTTCTTCTATTATTAGTTAGGAAAACCTCTCTTGGTAAAATATAAGCAACATAAAAAGATTATAATAAAATTCCACCCCAAATTTAGAAAGGTAACAATGAGGGGCGCCTAGGTGGCTCATTAAGTTAAGCGTCCGACTTCGGCTCAGGTCATGATCTCGCGGTTTGTGAGTTTGAGCCCCACGTCGGGCTCTATGCTGACAGCTCAGAGCCTGGAGCCTGCTTCGGATTCTGTGTCTTCCTCTCTCTCTGCCCCTCCCCACTCATGCTCTCTCTCTCTCTCTCTCTCTCTCTCTCTCTCTCTCTGAAAAATAAACATTCAAAAATTTTAAAAAATGTGGTTATTAGAAAGGTAACAATGATCAGAATAAAACTCATACAAATATGCAGTGAGTTAAAATAATTTAAGAAGACAATGACGGCTATTAAAAGAATAAATCAACCAGATTCAGATAAACACAGAAAAGAGAAAAAGAGATATTTGAAGACAGGGAAGATTTCTAAAGTAAGTTGACATAACTCAGGAAAGAATTAAAAATATAAAGTCATTTAGGAGATAAGTTCAAAGTAGAACTCAAAAAGGAGCAAATACCTTGGATAATGCTCTGAAATAAATACAAAATGTAATATATAAGAATTTTAAAATAGGTGAAAAAATATTAATGAGTAAGTGTTATATATGGAAATTTGGTAAGAACATAAAACATGCATTACGTGACTCCTCCTATAAGAACCCCAACATTGGACAGAACTAAAAATTCCGTGAAACATTGAAGCCTTTCTATTGAAAAAAATGTACAATGTACTTAGGGAAAGCAATAACAACATAATTTGAGATATAATCTCAAAAAAATACATTGGCAGTCAGGCAAAATGCCCAAATCATTTGTAAGAGAAAGATAAGCATTTATCAGACATTTTGATATCATGTTGTGATGGAAGAAAATGGCAAACCATTTTTAAGATCATCAAAGGAAGGAAAATGGAAGCTAAGAATTGTATATCTGGCCAAACTAGCCTTCATATATAAAAACAACAGCTGATAAAAGAATTTAGGAAATACATGTCGATTCCATAAGACCTACCTTTAAAATCTAGACAATGAACTTCAGACTACCAAAGTGACTGGAAAGCATGTACATAAATTGTGATGGTGAGAGCCGAGTATATAATAACCTGTAAAACTAAGATATGGCTATAAGGGAGTCAGTATAGAATATAAAGGTACATGCAGTAAAAATATAGTCAACTATTAAAAATGAGAATAGGAACAGTACATAGAAAGTAGAATAGGCTCACTTATTGCTTTATAGAAATTAACAAAGTAAAAGGATATTGCTACAAATTAAATGCTTGAAAGAAGGGTTCCCAGTTAAATTTCAAATGGCTTAGACTAGTGAACCAATAAGAATACTAAAATAGAAGGGACTAAGGGTATTATATAAAGTCACATAACATTTGGAAGAAAATAGAAAACCTTTCTAGAATAATAAAAAATATCCTCCTTCCCCCTAAAAAGACAGCAAATAAAACAAATCACAAAGAAATACAACAAGACAGGATAGGACAAGTTGTCAGCAAACATAAAAGAGTCAAATAGGTATATTTATTTTTGAGAGAGAGAAAGAGAGAGAGAGAGAACGCATGAGTGAGGGAGACGCAGAGAGAGAGACACACAGAATCCAAAGCAGGTTCCAGGCTCCGAGCTGTCAGCACAGAGCCCAATGCAGGGCTTGAACCCACCAACTGTGAAATCATGACCTGAGCCAAAGTCAGATGCCCAACCCACTGAGCCACCCACGTGCCCCAAAAAACTGGTATATTCTGATACCAGATGAAGTATGTTTCAAACAGGGGCACAACCAAACACAAAAAGGCACATAATGATTACATAATGATAAAGGATTCAACTTATCAAAGAGACACAGTAATCCAAAATGCTTGTACACTAATAACAGTTTGAAAATATGTGATGGAGGAACACCAAATATCCCTCAGTGGACAAATACATATTTATCATAACTGCCATAGGCCATGTCAATACTTCTCTCCTAGTAACTGATAAGACAAGCAGAGTTTTAAAAGCCTACAGAAGACTTCAACATGCTCTTGACCAAATTGACCTAGTGCACCAATAGTGGAGATAAAAATAGATTATTGAAGTAGTCAATCCAAAAGACAAGAAATGAGAAAGAAATAAAGGACAGATGTGACAAAACCTGTAACAATCTGGTTGAGTCAAAACTAACCATATCAATAATATATTAAATGAAAATCTAAACACAGATTTATATGTTCAAGATTTGAAGACTGGATATAAAGCAAACTTCAACTTTACAATGTCTTTAAGAAAAACACTGTGAAGACATAGAATGGCTTAAATAAAATTGTGAGAAATATATACAATGCAAACACTAACCATAAGAAAGCTGGAGTGGCTGTATTAATTTGAGATAAAACATATTTCAAAACCAAGAATATTATAGAAGATACAGTGGGCCATTACAAGTTGATAAAAATGCCAGATTAAGATATTGATGTTTTTTAGATCTTCAATATTCTTCTGGAAATATATGTATGCATATACACATATTATATTCACACTTATATAGAGAAAATATGAATAATTTCCAATTCAATATTCAAAAATGTCCAAGAGTAGACACTGCACAAAAATAGATACAAAAATGGCCACTATTCATGTGAAAAGATGCTCACTCATCAGCGAAATGCAAATTACAATCATGAGTTAGCATTTCTCACTCTCTAGAATAGCTAAAATGTAAAGATTGATAGATTGTGCAGGTGAGAAATCTCACACGTTGCTGTTGGTAGTACAAAAGGCAAAACCATGCTGGAAAAAAAGGTTGTTCACTTTTGTAAGTTACAAATTCTCTTCGTTTGACCTAGCAATTCCCAGTTACTTGCTTAAGAGAAATGAAGACATATGTTTGTAAAAAAGACATGTGCTTCATTTTTCATAACAGAATTTTTCATCATAGTAAAACCAGAACCATCAATTGCATTGTCAAACTGGAGCCATCAGAGTGTCCATCAACAAGTGATAGAATATATAAATTGCTTTATATCCGTACGATGAAATAAACCTCTGCACTGAAAACGAAGTGAACTACTGATGTACTCAACAAATTGGATGGGTATCCTAGATATTCTTGTGAGTGGAAACAACCAGACATAAAAGATTATACTTTCATGTAATTTTTAAATCTTAAAAAATGTTTGTCTATTTTTGAGAGACACAGAGCTTGAGTGGGGGAGGGACAGAGAGAGAAGAAGACACAGAATCTGAAGCAGACTCCAGGCTCCGAGCTGTCCGCTCAAAGCAAGACACAGGACTTGAACTCACTAACCGCGAGATCATGACCTGAGCTGAAGTTGGAAGCTTAACTGACTGAGTCACCCAAACGCCCCTACTTTATAATTTCATTTAAATGAAATTCTTAAGCTAGCAAAATAAAACTAGTGTGTTATGTCACCAGAACTCAAGTGTCAACATGATAGAGGCTTTTTATTAGGCAAAAATGGACCCTGAGGATAATAACTGCTGTTACTTGGAAACACAGCAAATATGTTTATATACAAGAGTTTATAATATCAAAGATTATTTTGCTTATGATTTGGAGATTGCTAAGGAATAAACTTGTGAATTTTTGTGAAAAGAGAATCAAGCATTTATTCTGCCTTTCGATACCATCTGCACCAAGCAGTTGATAAGAGGAAGCTCCTTTTCATAGAAATATTCTCAAAAAAAAAAGGAAAAAGTTGTAGAATTAGAAAAACAATTACCATTTTGCAGCCCTTGCAGAAATAACAGATCTTGACGTTGAGCATCGATGACTGCTAGTATTGCATACAAGCAAACAGAAGACAGCCAGACATCATGTGCCTCATAGGGGACATGGACGCTGACGCATATGAAGTGTACTTGATAAAAATTATAAACCTAGATCTGTGTGACTTCTGTATCTAACTATACATTAAAAAATATAGATAACAGGGGCGCCTGGGTGGCGCAGTCGGTTAAGCGTCCGACTTCAGCCAGGTCACGATCTCACGGTCCGTGAGTTCGAGCCCCGCGTCAGGCTCTGGGCTGACGGCTCAGAGCCTGGAGCCTGTTTCAGATTCTGTGTCTCCCTCTCTCTCTGGCCCTCCCCCGCTCATGCTCTGTCTCTCTCTGTCCCAAAAATAAATAAACGTTGGAAAAAAAAAATTTAAAAAAAAAAAAAGACGGAATCTGAATCGCCAGGAAGGCTTACTAAAATACCATTTGGAAAAAAAATAAATAAAAATAAAAAATAAAAAATATAGATAACAGAGGAATAGTTAGCTGGTACTGCAGGAATGCTATCACCAAAGTTCAGCTTCTGGAAAAAAAATTTTATTTCATCCACATATAATTTGTAAGGATTCAGGGGCGGTAGGAAGAACCTATAAACTAAAATAGACTTTAGAGGCATTCTGATTAATTGCAGTGTATGGACTTTATTTGGATTCTGATTTGAACAAATATTTGTTAAAATTCTGTGAGACTATCAGGACCATCAGGAAATATAAACAGTGTGTGTTTGTTCATATTAAGGAATCTTATCAAATGTGTAATTATTCTAATGGTATTATGCTTATATTTTTGAAAGAGTTCTTATGTTTTACAGGAAAATACTGAAATAGTTATAGATGTAATATTTGGGATATGCTCCAGAGTTATCTGGTCAGTATGGTGTTGGATCTAGATGAAACCAGGTTGGCCATCAGCTGCTAATTATTGAAGCCTTGTTAACGGATAATTTGGGGGTATTTTTATATAACTTTATACAACTTCTGGATGTGGCTGAAACCTCCCACAGAAGCATATTTAAAAAAGAAAAAC